TGGTGGCAATACATGAGAGGGCTTTCTCTATGGCAGTGATAGGGAGCCTTTTTGCACTCTGGGGGCTGCATTGCATTGTGGGAAACCTTCTGGAGACTGCAAGCCAGAGGCAAAAGTGGACAGTGCAATGGATGTGACTCCTACCTTTGTACAGCAGGCTACATTCCAGCCATACAGGTATCAACACACACATCACCAGTCTCTATCCAGACAAGCAAGGAGACATGATCACAGTTCAAGGACACACTGCAGTAGCAAAAGGACCCAGGGAGGTTTTGGGGCCTGGAGAGAGGGGAGCAGGCTTGGGGAGGAGGCAAAAAATTGGGAGAGTACTGAGGACTAGACAGGCTTGAAGGGCCCCATTTGGACCATGGGTCTGAGCTGCCCCAAACCTGCTCTGTGGCTCTTGTTATGGGGAACACCCTGCTCTTGGAAGTTAAATCTAACTTGAAGACTTTCTTAAAAAAAAAAAAGCCTTTGATTCAGTTGTTGTTTAATCTTATTGTTACCACAAAAATGTGTCCCATTTTTAAATGTTTGTTTTAGTCTTGAATTGTGTTGAAGCTATTTTAACTATTATTGTCAATTTTATTTTTATGTTCATTTTCATACTTTGTTTACCACTTTGATTATCTCCTTTGACTGTAGTAGGTATAAAGAACAGTTGTTAAATCTACTTTTTCCTAGGCCATTCCATCCAAATGATCATGAAGAACTCTTACAGAATTCTTACATGGCTCTAAGTTGCAGGTTCTTCACAATGGTTTATACCACTAATCTGAAAGCTGTAATTATGAAAAAAGCACCTTCTGGCAATTAAATTTCACACTAGCTACAGGAACAAATGAAAATATAGCATGCCACAAAATGAAAAGAAATGACATAGCAGTTTAATAACATATAGGAAATCTCTTCTTGATTATAAACTGGAATCATAAAGTAAGTGAAATGTGGAAAATATTTATATGGGGGAAAACACCCTTGCTTTAATATCATACGTCTACTTGTGAGTTCTATACCACTGGCTCAGACTCAAGCTACTCATTTTATCAAACCCAAGACATCCACTGATAATGGAACATGAGAGGATTCCAAGGCAGACTAGGTCTGACAAGCAAGATTTAACATAGCACAAGAGAGTCGTTAGAACAGATATTAATTTTTTTCCTTCAGATATTCAATTTTCAAATGTTAACAGAGCATTCCTGTACATGTTTATTCAAATGTAATTCCTACTATATGTAATGAGGTTCACTTCTTAGTGTTTAGGAATTTCGCAGCTTTAGTCTCATGACCCTAATTCAAGTAGTATCAAGGTGAACCTAAATTTGGTTCTTGCATTTTTGATCAAGGTGTCTCCCCTGCCAGGTAAGTATTGATTGATTCTTGCATTTTTAACTCAGTCTCTTTGTTGTTGTTGTTGTTGTTGTTGTTGTTGTAGTAATAATAATAATAATAATAATAATAATAATAGTTATTATTTATTTATTTATATTCTGCCTATCTGGCTGGGTTTTCACAGCCACTCTGGGCTGCTTGCAACAAAATATTAAAAATACAATAAAACATCAGACATTAAAAGCTTCCTTAAACAGGGCTGCCTTCAGATGTCTTCTAAAAGTCAGGTAATTATTTGTTTCCTTGACATCTGATGGGAGGGTGATCCACAGGGTGGGTGCCACTACCGAGAAGGCCCCCTGTCTGGTTCCCTGTAACCTCACTTCTTGCAGGGAGGGAACCGCCAAAGGCCCTCGAAGCTGGACGTTGGTGGGGGTGGAGACACTCCTTCAAGTATACTGGGCCGTGGCCATTTACTGCTTTAAAGGTCAGCACCAACACTTTGAATTGTGCTTGTTTGAATTGTGTTGTTTGCAGAGAGGAGATTGCAGTAGCTTTTCTTTTCCCTCCTCATTTTGCTGCTGTGCTGAGCTAAGCTATGGTTTGGTTTAGCATGCTATCTGTGTCTGATATAATCATTTAGCTCTCCCAGACAAACCATGAGCTCTAAACCATAGAACAAACTCAAATCCAGATGACACCCATGACTTAGCTCAGTGCAGTGCAACAGCAAATTGGCCAGGGAGGAGCAGCCACAATCTCCTCTCTGGGAACCCACATGCTTGCTCATTTGCATTAAGCCATGCTTTGGATTAATCTTACATCAGAACTAGATCTTCCCAGTTTCCTGCAGTGACAAGAGGTTGAATTAAATGACCTTTGGGACACCTTCCATTACACTAAATGGAAAAAGCTCCTCATTGCGCAATCCTCCCTGAAATATTCTGGGACCCATCTGTGTGGGTTGCAACCCACACTTTCAGAAGGTTTAGCTTTATGTAGCCTACTGACTTTATTTACATATCTAAAGCATTGTTACCACACTCTTTAGCTGTCTTGCATCTCCTACTGGTAAGGCTGTGGGTGTTCTCTCCCGCCCTCCTGTTACCACTCAGTATTAATAGGCTCTTCCGTTCTGTTGCTCTACCTCTCAAACTGCCATTGCATATTAAAGTTAATCCATTTTGAGATTACTTATTAACCACTTTTCCTAATGTTAGTAAAAAAAAATCAAGGTCAAGTTTCATCATTTAAATTGTCTCCATTTCTATTTTTCTTCTTCACAGTACATTTTTTTGTCATTCTGCTTAGAACTGACTACAACTTCTGAAATTGTAATGTCAAAGGTACGACTCTTCCATTTGTCTTAGGAGCCCTATGGACCCAACTCCGTTTATTTTTCATCAGCTGTTTATTCCTCATCTAATACTTGATATGGGACGCGGGTGGCACTGTGGTTAAAAACCTCAGCGCCTAGAGCTTGCCGATCGAAAGGTCAGCGGTTCAAATCCCCGCGGCGGGGTGCGCTCCCGTTGTTCGGTCCCAGCGCCTGCCAACCTAGCAGTTCGAAAGCACCCCAGGGTGCAAGTAGATAAATAGGGACCGCTTACTAGCGGGAAGGTAAACAGCGTTTCCGTGTGCAGCTCTGGCTCACCAGAGCAGCAATGTCACGCTGGCCACGTGACCCGGAAGTGTCTCCGGACAGCGCTGGCCCCCGGCCTATAGAGTGAGATGGGCGCACAACCCCAGAGTCTGTCAAGACTGGCCCGTACGGGCAGGGGTACCTTTACCTTTACCTTTTTAATACTTGATAGTAGTTTTATAAAACCCGAAGCGTTATTGATGGTGGGAAGTTGTTTGAATGAAAACTTCTATCTCAGATGCCTTTCAGCACTCATGGTTTGCTTTTTTTGGGGGGGGGAATCTCAAATGGTTAAAAGGATGGAGTGAGTCATGTGGGGACTTCTAGAGCACTGAATAGTTCCAGGTGACTATTTAGAACACATGTTCAAACAACATAAACACACTGAGACCACTGCTATTTTAAAAAGAACAATATGGTCTTCTTTTTTCAGTACTGACATTTAGTATTCAAGCTTTCCTTCACTTCAATATAACAAAGGAAGGATTTAGTTCCTGCCCTCCTCCCCAAAATTTAACTGGCCTATTAGACTGCTTAAATGCCTGTACTGTAAGAAAGGTCTGTAGTGAACCATTCATATAATCAGATTTCATTTTACTTAACACAAAATTTGTTCAAAGAAATCATGACATTTAACTAAGAGAAAGGATGTTTTATACTTTTTTTTAATTAAATAGTAGAATTTCTACCTTGACGATGTTCACATTTCTTCTACAGGGAATTAAATCTCTTATCTACCCCTGACATCATGTAAGATTTCAGGTGTTAGGTGAGTGGGCACAGCTTCCCCAAAATGGCCTTGCAGGCCAAATGAGGAAGCTACATTTGGCCAGCAGACTGGCAGCTCCCCACTCTTACCATAGATAATGTAAGCCATACAGTGAACAGCCTCCCTAAGCATAATTGGCTTTATTAAAGCTCACAGTAAGACTGACTGATTTCAGAATTTCTAAACCAACTACATCCAGAAAACTGCAGAGTCGTGTACATAAATAGAATATAAAACATAATGCAGATAATCAAGCAGCACTAAAACATAATAAACAAGAAATAAAAACTACAGAGATAAAAAAGACAAAGTTTTCAACAAATGACAAAAACATAACATTGGGGCTTGCTTCACTTCTAGGTGAAGGGAATTCCACAGAATGGATGCCACAATGTTAAAAGCATATGGTCAAATCTCTGCTTGATTCACCACAGGCACTTGTGGCATCATCAATGGATCTTAATCCAGAGATCCAAGTCAACAGGTTGGAATGTATAAGGAGAGCTGGCTTCCCAGATACCCCAGTCTTCATACACCAGGAGTGAAACCTTGAATCTAATTCAGCAACTAATTTGCAGTCTGTGGGACAGAGGTGTCACATGTTGTCAATTGCTTGCCCCAGAGAGCAAACTGTGCAGTAGTGTTTTACACTAGCTGCGTGTTTCTGACAAAATTCAAAGGCAGCCCCAAGTAAATAACATTACAGCAATCAAGTCTAGAGGTTACCACTGCACAAACTACTGTTGCCAAGCTATCCCTGTCGGGGAATGGTTGTAGCTGGCTTACCGGCCAGAGCTGATAAAAAGTACTCCTAGAAGCTGAGGACACTTGAGCTTCCAGTGACAATGCTGGATCAATGAGTACCCACAAGCTACATACCTGTTCCTTCAGAGGGACTGCAACCCCATCCAGAAGAGACAACTGACCAATTCCCAGACTCAGAAACCACTCAAACACAGGGAATCTGCCTGTTTCAGTTTATTGGCTCTCCAGACTATTAATTAATCCAGGCACTGTTCCAGGACTTGATAGCCATTTCTTAATCACATTTTCCACCGAGTAAAAGCTACTTATGACACCTAATTGGCTGGACAAACAAACCTTTCTGCATATATGAAGTAAAAGCAAAAGAGTAGAGACATGATGCAGAAATACTACAGTCAGCCTTTATTATATTCTACACATAAGTACAGCACCTCAAGGGATGGCACATAGTAATCAAACACTGGAGAATAGTCTGAAGCCACTAACCTGTGTTCCTGTGAAGTAAACTGGATCTATTTTCCAAAGGGACAGAAAACATCTCACTTTCTGAGGTTGTGATCTCCTTGGGAGAAGCACTGAGTTGGAGAAGAGCATCTTGCACTTTCTTTTTTTCCTTCTTTAACATATTTACTAAAATATCTAAAGTTCATTTTAAGGAAAATTTCTGAAGCAAATTTGAGACAACTATAAACACTCTTCTTACAATAAGAGGTCTGTTGATTATATATTAAAAGCAAAAAGCATTATTTATTTTATCTTTTACTTTTATTTATTTCAACATATACCCTGCTCACCTTTCAGAGAGCACACAGAGCTTTACATATGGTTCCCAAATGGAATCCCACCCAGGCAGCTTACAGAGCTACACCAGAATCATACCTAAGTCCCCAGCAGGCTAGCCATGCCCAGGGTATATATGCTAAACATATTCCAAGTTGTATAGCATGCACAAAATATACCAATATGCATCATACAGAATATTCAAGAGAAGTGTTAGGCCACTAACAAAGTGACTTATATATACCAAAAAGCACAGAAACTGCAAGCCAAAGCACCAGGCATAATCTCTGCATCAAATAGCCAGCAAATAAATTCTACAGACTCACACAAATTGCATTCGGATGTTATGTGAAAGCGCAGTTGAGTGTGGCATGAATTAGCCTAGGCAAGCCTTGAGTTTGTGTACTTCTCTCTCCCTTCTCCCCCTCCTATACAGAAGTTTTCACTTCTACATAACTGCAGTCTAAAGTGACAAACTGGTTAACATTAACTATGGTTGGTTTGACACAAACCACAGTTGAACAGTGTTGGAACCAGCTGCCCAGAACCCTGCAAACCCTCCAAACACAGATAGATAAAGGCCTTAACACACTTGCAAATCCTCACACATCCCACGCTTATACACAAAACACTTCTCCACCTTACTTGGCAGCCACAGCTTCCTTCTCAGGCTTCTGACAGTCATTGTTGTTGAAGGAAGAGGCTTAGGACTGACCATGCCCTGCAACATGACCTGTCCTTACTTGAATTGTTTGCTTAATAGGGGAACTTAACTTATTTACCATGGCTGATCTGAACTTCCAACCAACAGAATGTTTTATGGGGTTTTTCGCCGGGGTGTGTGTGGACTCCACTGCATCATTTCCAGGACATTCTTCTGACTGTGTTAAGAAGTGTATGGCAAACAAATGTTGGAAATGTAAAGAGGGGACATTCTTTCATCTCTGGTGGACCTGCCCAAAAGTGAAGGCCTTCTGGGAAGTGATTTACAATGAGTTAAAAAAGGTATTTAGATATACCTTTCCTAAGAAACCAGAGGCCTTCCTCCTGGGCATGGTAGACCAGAAGGTGTCAAAGAAGGATAGATCTTTGTTCATGTATGCTACTACAGCAGCAAGAATCCTCATCGCAAAGTATTGGAAGACACCAGATTTACCCACGCTGGAGGAATGGCAGACGCAGTTGATGGACTACATGGAATTGGCTGAAATGACTGGCAGAATCCGAGATTTGGGAGAGGAAATAATGGAGGAAGACTGGAAAAAATTTAAGGACTATTTGCAAAAACATTATAAGTTGTATGAATGTTAAGAATGTGTACGATTAGGAAACTTTTGCTTCAGCAACTTGAATAGGTGAATTGGAAACTAAGTTATAAGAAAGACGAGGTGGACAATAATGAAACAACTATACTATGTTTATTTTTAAGGTACAAATAACGGAGATACAGTATTTTGAACTTAGAAACATAGTATTTGAAAGATACAGTAAGATATGAAATAAGGTAACAAATTGCTGATGTGTTAATTGCAAAGAACGCAGGGTTCGGAAGATGTGGGGAAGTCCAGTTGGAATGACAAAAGTATTTTGGAAAGTTGGTTTTTATTTATCTCTTTCTTTTTTATTTTCATTCTTTATTCTTTATTCTGTAAACTTCTAACTGTTGGAAAGAAAATTTAATAAAATATTTAAAAAAAAGAAGAAGTGTATGGCAAAAACACTCAGAGGCTTTACTTTAAAGTACTTTAAAAATAAGAAACTTGTTAAAAAGCCCCCAGACCACCTTAAATCAATTTAAATTGACTAAGCCCCCCTCCAAAAGTCAAATAGGTTTCACTCACTACCACCAGTCCCAATCTTCATTGGAAAGTAAGGTACAACTAGGATACCTTTTACTTTTCCATTGTTTTCTTCTTCAGCCAATTTACTCTGCACTTCAGCCTAAGAGACACATGGAGCAGCTTACATAGTATCACTTACAAACAAGACAGTCCATGTCTACACACTTACAATCTAAAAGATTGTACACAAAAAGAAAAGTGGGATGGGGAAGTAAGGGGACCATGAAAAACTGAAATGCCAGTTCAAGTTACGAAGCTTGCAAAATGATAAGCTTGAATGGAAACAACTAAGGGAGAGGATGAATCATAGAGTCATAGAGTTGGAAAGGACCACAAACATTATCTAGTCCAACCTATCTTTCACCCAACATGGGGCTCAAACCAACAACCCTTAGATTCACAGACTCATGCTCTACCAAATGAGCTATCCATGAAGCTGGTCTCTCAGCAGAACTGAGAGAATAGCCCTATGGTACCATCACTGCTTCTGCTGTTGGCCTGCAGCCAGGTGGAAAGCTGATTTAAAAGATAAAATCTCCATAAAGACAAAATAGATTTTAACCAGAACAGGAAGAGTGTTAAAAGAGGTCAAGAAAAAACTTGGTGATATGTTATGCCGGGGCAAAGAATGGTCACAAATGGGGGGAGGAGGCACAAAGGTAAAAGATTTTAAACACATTATCTCAGCAATTCCTCAATGCATCAGTCTGAAAATTAATCAGAGCATGTCACGTCATGTAGATATACCATGCCAAATTTCAGTTTTGACAACTCTTCAATATTTTAATAACATTAATTATATTAAGGTTTTACAGTGGTGGGATACAGTTTGACCTATCCAGATTAACCATGCAGTGATTCTTCTGACTGTAAAACATATCTAAATATTAAACAACATCATATAAAATGTGGTTCATGTTATATAAATGGACTTTTAAACCAGACCTGATTTTAACCCAAAATAAAGGTTTTTTGCCCCAATTCAAAAATAAAATGCTGTTATCTGCCTGCAGTTCTTTCAAATAACCAAAAAAACTAGAATACAGTAATTATATTTTCTATACCTTACTAAAACTACAGCTATGTATATATTTTCTATGAATTTATAGAATGCACAGCACTATTTCAAAAGCTAAATTTTATATATATTGAATCTTAGGTTTAATAAAAATTTACATTTACTCTAAATCCACAGTTCAGCAACATTTCATTTGACTAAAAATAACAATTACAGGAAATTCAACTTTTTGAATGGCAATAAATAGTGCTTTATATAGCATTGCTATTTTCCATTATTATTATTTTTAAGAAAGTGCTTCACATAAGGTTCCCAGAAACCTGGATCTAGGTCAGGACTAAGCAACACACTAAAGCTTTTACATCCAGGAGATTAAACTAGCCTGCTTCAGAGCAGGCAATAAGAGTAAACCTTGGAGTCTGGTAAAAAAGGTATAGCAAATGTTTGTTGCAGAATTTAGTAGAAGAACTCACTTAGACAATGAAAATACAAACTTGATGTCTAACCCAGCTAAAATACCAATATGTCTCCTTTCAGAAAGAGGCTCCCTTGACCTGCAGCATTATCTGTGTGAGGGGGAGTTTATGGGACAGGAACAAATAGATGTCAGTCTCTCCCAGCTTCTGCCCCATTCTGGTGAGGACATGCATACTCTTGTGGTTCTGGGAGTCCCCTGCCACTGTGAGAGTGCAGGTGGAGTGGAAATAGTGGCTAGATTGCCACTCAGCCCAACTGAAGGCAGGAGGAGGAGGAGGAGGAGGAGGTGGTGAGTGGGGAATGATACAGGCAAACATCAGGCCCTCTGCCCCCCTGTAGAAGCAGCTGTCTCTAAGAGGCTGTTGTTCTGAAAGGCATTCAACATCAGGACTAGACCCCACTGAGGATGTAGACCATCTACCTGTATGGCTGCAGATGCTCAGGAGACTCCCCAAACCAGCCTGCTTTGAATTGGTGCTGGGGAGGGAAGCTATAAACCATCCTGTTGGGGTCAGTGAGCGGCACTGCCCACATGTATTACCCCCAACGGGTGGTACCAAATGGATTCTCCTCTTTGAGCCATATTATATGGCAGCGGTGGAAGAAGCCGCTCGGGCGCCTGGGGTGGAGCGCCCAGGGGTGGGACGAGCCACCCATAGGGGCAGGGTGCACCGCAGGGCCTCCAGAGTCTGCCTGCCTCCTCCCACTCAGCTGCCCTACAGCTGGGGGGAGGCAGCGGGCGGACCGTTTGGGCAGCGCGGAGCCTGTGTGCGCCCAAGCCACCGCGTCTCTCCCAGGAGAGACGCATGGCTTGGGCATGCTGCAGGCCCCGCAGTCAGTGCTACCCGGCATTTTGTCACACACCCCCTCAGTGGTGACACCCGAGCAGCCTGCACCCACCGCACCCCCTTCCTCCATCCCTGGGTGCAATGAGGGCCCACTGCCTTAAAATAGTTTCATTGGGCATGGTTTTACATGTGGCCCTATTTGTCTCTTTCTCTAAGCCTAAGGCAGGGTTCTTCAACCTTGGGCCCCCAGATGATGTTGAACTGCAATTCTCACCATTCCTGACCATTAGCTAAGCTGGCTAGTGATGATGGGGGTTGTAGTCAGATGACCTTTTCTGGGTTCAGAAATCATTCGTATTTGCCTCTGAAGGTGTGAAATGGATCAGTGGGGTAGGAGACAGGAGGGGACATTGCCCTCTGAGATTATTGTGTAGTTATGCAATCATACAACTTCAACTGGAAGGCAAATTATTGATTCATGGAAAATAAGGTCCATGCATATTTAGGTGGGAAATAACTTAGTTAACTCATCATATCTGGAGCTGGTTATTACAGTAGCTAGAATATACAGAACACTGTTATGTTGTTCTCAAGCATACGTATAGGATGGTCTGAGATTATCCCTAGAAGGGTATGACAAAGGGCTATAGAAATCCTCTGCAATCAGGGTGCCTGCAAGAAAAATGAACAAGGGTAATAGCAATAATATAAGGTGGATGGGTGGACTGTCCCTGAGATAGCCAAGCATAGTTAAGGAGAATGCTTACCTCATACAGGGCTTGGGATTTATCTCTGTTCCCGAGACAGAGCAGAGCTGCCTCATCCCTGTGGTAGGTGGAATGGTGGTGATGGTGAGGAGATGAAGTTCTATCTTGAATTAAGGGAGGTGATTGTCCAGTGCTGCTTGACATGGAAACATCGGGCAACTTCAGAGGGAACCTGTATCATCAGCCTTTTCCCTAGCTAGGATGCTTAGGTATGAGTAGTTCACTATGGAAAGCCAGGTTAATACCTCAGCGCACACACACACACACACACACACACACACACTTTAGTCACATTGCATTTTTGAATTGACATGTAAAATTAGTGGCCATTTTACTTGAAGACTGGTGACTATCTCAGTTTCGTTGACAAGGATACTGATTTCATTGTCTCGTTGCTGCAGAAGATCCTTCAACTTCTTCAACTCTTCATATCCAATTGAATTATTAGTGTCTGATGCAAGCAGATGGTTGTTAGGTAACTTTGCATTATTAACCAATCTCTATTAAATGGAACAAAAGCAACTGTCAGTTCTTTAGTTTTGACATTCTGTTGACCTACCTCCATCAGAAGCAAATTGCACCAACTTATTTAGCCTAGGTAAAAGACAATGCTACTGCTGCTGACCACTCCAGTGGCCCTCTTGCCTGTCTTCTTGTTCCACTTCAATCAATTTTGAATGCAACTGTTACTTTCATCACTTTTATCTGATGTCATTCTTCTCTTCCAGCCTTCTGCTCTCTCTGTTGCTTTCCTCTAAAATGCCATTTCTCATCCTTACATTTAAACCTCTGTTTCTAGTGACATCTCTTTTCTCATCTCAGCTTATTTCCTGCTTTGCATTTATACACAATTTCTTTTGCCACTGACCCCATTTCTCTACATACATCTTAATGTCTTGTCCTAAATCAGCAATCTCACATATTTTTCAGGACAAGAACTTGCTTTTTGGGATCCATTTTTTTTTATCACATGGTAGTGTTTCTAACACAACTTCTCCTCAAGGTCAGTAGTGTATCCAGATCTACTAGTGGAAGACCAAAGCCCCAAATGACTTTCTTTAACTATATTATCTACACTCTCTTCTCAAACTACCTCTCTCATCAATTCCAACCAATCAAAGGGCAGTATTCAACAAAATAGTTCAGCCCACACAAGAATTACTGCTTGCACAACTGGATTTCCCTCTCCCTCACATGCAGCCCACAAATCTGCTCTGGAGGGTTGGAAGAACCACAAAACAGATTTATGGGTGCACCAAAAGAGAAAGAGAACATATTGTGTTGTGCAAGGAGAAATCTTTGCACTAACAGAATCTTTAGGCCATATTCAACCAAGTTGTGGTGCTAGTAGAAGCTTGCTCCTTGATCTACGCAACACCCATCTACCTTTCCAACTCTGCTCAGGAGGGTTGAAAGAACCCCCAGAATTTAGTGGTGAGGACAAGAAGAAGACCGTTCTGTCTGGTAAGCAGAAATGCTTGCGCTGATGGGATGATCATATTAATGTGATGCTGAATTCTCCCCCTTAGTCTTCGTGCTAAGTCGAATACGGGGGGGGGGGGATCCGTCTCCATTTCCTGGACCAGCACAGCTTCTTTCAGTAAACCCTCCTTTATTCCATCCTTGGTACTCCCTTAACAAACCTACCCTTCTCCCTTTATCTTCACTCTGTCTATACTGAAAACAATATGAGCAGGCACCCTGGTGTATTTACAATTTGTCAAAAATAGCAATAAAGGGATTCTCAACAGTTCTTAGGGAATATTAATTAAGCAAATGTGCAATGTTAATTTAGCTAAAAAAAATAACTATGTACTCTTATTTCTGGAATACTTCAGTAATGAAAGTTTGGCTAACCCATAGGTAAATATGGATATATAGTTCCCAGCTGAATAAAATATGGCTTGCTTGTCTGTTTATGTAAGATATATAGGTGGGTTTCACACAGTGTATAAAATTATTAAAACAATAATTATCCACTTTTTGAAGTAAATGAAGATGAACTACTGTTTATGTCAAAATTGCAGTTTCTGCTTCTTATCTCTGCCCTAAGTGCAAGATGATTCATCAGAAGCTCTTGTAGTGGTAGCTGGAGCCACTTCTCCCCAACCACTGGCTTTGACACTTGAATAATCATTTTTTTAAAAAAACCACATTTTAAACCATGGTTTCGGATCCTCATTAGCAAACAGACATTAAACCACAGTACTCCCACCTTGGAAACTCTGATTTGAAGAATCCATGACCAAAACTGATGCTTGAGAAAAAGGAGTGCATGAGCATAGTTCTCATTCCAAGCTTACTAATTAATCTAGGAACATTACATTCAAACCAGACAACTCAGATTCTCTCGATTACAATATGCATACCAAAAGCAATTTATTTTCTCCTGTGAGAAATGAACAATGTATTTAGTGCTTCAGTTGTATCGTTTTATGGAGTTCTGATTTGGGGCTTTTATTTCCTTCTCCCTCTCTCCCTGGAATGTATAGTAAATGAAAACACATGGAGTGTTATTATTGTGTTGAAGGCTTCCTCACCCCTGAAAATGGCAGCCAATGAAGCATACCTTTAAATGGTTGAAAGAGTGTTTGATCTTCCGCATATCAGCTCCTAACTCCAATGTGCTCTCAGGATCCATATCTTCCAAAAAACTTTTAATCTGTTCGTCTACCCTAAATTCAGGAGGAAATACGACCTTTCAGAAAATATACTTAATCTTCAGAAGATAAAAGCAAATAGGCATACCAGACTGAGAGCAAGCTTGTTTCCAATATACCACAACTGGTGTTTTCCAATATACAGTATCACAAACGGATATATTGTTTTAAAATAATGTTTAAAATAGTGTTTTTGAATTTTTATAAAAGGTTTTGGCTACAGTAAGTTTTTTGTTTTGTTTTAAATGTTATCTCAACTAGTCCACTAATTTTTGGGGGGAGCAGACCTATGAAAATTCATGGACCTAACGTAGTCACTTAATTTCAAAGGGTTGACATCAAGTAAAAGATGGATGAGTATCACCCAATCACCAAAAACTGAACTACAACCCTCTGGAAGAATAGTGGGGGAAATATCTTCATAACATTATTGTTTCAAATTTTGACTTGCTTCTGGAAACCAAGGATTAGCAAGTTACCACAGTCATTATATTTAGGGGAAACAATCCTGTATGCCACTACTGAGCCCCTTATTGTCATTATAATTATTTCTTGAAAAATGAAGTGATTGCATTTAGCAACTATATATAGTTAGCAATATTGAAATTAATGCTTTAACACTTAAAAGAAAAAAAGAATCATTGTTGCACTCTGGCAACCCAATTGTGCCCAGAGAGGCCCCAGAGAAAAGGAAGCCCTCCACCCAGCCAGCTCTAGTGACTCTCAGGAATGGTATTTGTACATGACTTAATTGCACCAGAGCAGGAATGGGGATCTGTATTTGAATATGCGTTCCATTGAAAGCAATGTGACTGTTGTCTCTCTCATCACACAGAATCATTTGCAGCTGGATGCAAATGTGAACGTGAATCTTCACTTCCATTCTGTTTCAACTTATCATGCACAAACAGAATCTGAGAGCAAATCTTTCCCTTCCATACTGAGACACTGATATTCACAGTACCACATGTCCTTCCCTATGCAGGGCTCTTTCATCCCATCAAAGAGAATAGGAGTCCTGGTATATGAAGGGCACAGTAGAAGTATCCAATCAAATGTGAATTTTGCAGCTTTTTTCTTATGCACCAACATGCCTTACATTGCTGTTGTTGTTGCTGCTGTTTTTTTTTTTTAAGAATGTCATTGACTTTTAAGGTGGAATCAACACACATATTAAAAAACACTGTTAAAATGTTTTTTAAAAAATGTTTTGAAAAATATATTGAATTTCCCATAGCTCACTATCACCATCTAGTTTCACATTTGTATACTGCACTTTACAATACACTTAACATGACTTATTAAACTTTCCCTAGTGTGGGAAAGACCATGCCAGGCAAGGACCAAAATTTGGCTTTTGCACATGATTTAGAAGACATTAAGAATAGTAATTTAACATTGAAACAGAATCATTTCCTCAGTTGTACACACTAAAGTACACCATTGGGCGGTGATTAAAAAAACACTAACAGCCATAAATTAGCAATTGCTTACAAATAATGTCAACTCCAGAATATTATTAGGATTAAGAATAGCATACATGAACAGCAAAGCATGACTAGGTAGTCTAGTATTCTGAATTCCATTTTAACCCTCTTATGCATTTGCAATGGATACCCCTGTCAAGAGATATTTAAAAATATGTAGAAATTTTCCCTCTAACCTGTAGCACTTCATATACTATACTTCTGGGATAAATACTTCTGAACTAAAGCAGTCAAATAGCTTTTATTAGTGAAAAATCAAGCAGCAGGACATTGGACTCTGAGTGGTAGAAAATGAAGTGCTAAATTTGCAGACATTAACAATCTAATGACCCAACATGGATAAAATTCTAATTTTACAACATTAAAGCTTGAGATAATGAGGTGTTAGAAAGCAAAGCAATACTGAATGTTTAATTTTTTTAATTTAGAATTGTGTGCTAGAACTATATTCAACAATCCTTTATAACATTCCTTATTTTTATAGTGCATTGAAAACAAATAACATTTTTTTAAAACTATCAACTTAAGTGACATCCAACATTAAATTAGTAATTGCTTTCTAAAAGTGCAGGAAGGTTATGTTTAAAATTCCCAATAATATGTAGGATCACATGGCTATGAGACACAAGATATGAGACCAGTGCACAGAGGAATTTTGGAAGCCCTCTCTTTGACCTTATTTGTAAACTATGGTTCATTTATAGCTGCTTTTGTCTTTTACAACAGACCCTGGAATATTATATCACATGCAGAAGTGAAGATCACTTAAAGAACAATGAATCGCCTAGGATCAGCCATGGTCTTCAAACAAAAATACCTAAAACTGAAGTTAAATGGCAAGGGAGTGTAAAAGTACTGTATGTGATAATTCAAGTATATGTATGCAATGATCCTTCACAACAGGAATAATTTAGTGAGAGCACAACTGGCTTATCATTGCAGAATAAAGGGTAAAGGGACCCCTGACATTAGGTCCAGTCACGGGCGACTGGGGTTGCGGCGCTCATCTCGCTTTATTGGCCAAGGGAGCCGGCGTATTTATCTATTTATCCTATTTATCTACTTGCACTTTGATGTGCTTTCGAACTGCTAGGTTGGCAGGAGCAGGGACTGAGCAAAGGGAGCTAACCCCGTCGTGGGGATTCGAACCGCTGATCTTCTGATCGACAAGCCCTAGGCTCTGTGGTTTAACCTGTATAAGCGACTTCTACAGTTGAGAAGTGAAATGTATGCAGAATGAACACAGTGAGCCTTCACAGCAGCACTGATTTGATTAACACCTTAGCATTCTACAAGGAAAACGACAATCAATGCACCAAGAAGGACTAATGGGGAATATTGTTATAAGAGGGGACTGACAGATGTGTCCAAAATACAAAACTCTATTGATGGACCATATTTATGAAAAAGATGCTGTATTAATTTAAGCAAGTTATATTTCTAGGTCACCACTTCAATAAATTGTATCACTGAGTCTCTGGCCTTTAAAAGTTGTACAGATGCTAATCATTATGTGGTATAAACATTTTTAAAAACAGAGGCCAATGGATGCTTTTTAGCCACATGAGATAATTGTATAATGCCCCAGGTCCTGATTTCCTCCCTCTCTGAGTCCCAAATTTTCAAGTAACAAAAGCTGCATATCCTTTTTCTTAAATTACTTCCAAGCAAATGCCTGCATATAAACCACTGTGTACTGAAATATTATTACTCCCATTAGCCCCAGCCAGCATGGCAAATGGAAGTCAACATTCAAATATTCTACAGCAAGACTGTTGGTACAGATAGCTGCTGGCACATAACTCTGATGCTTAAAAGCTTGTATTGGCTACCCTTATACTACTAAGCCAAGTTTAAGGTTCTTGCATTAACAATACCCTAAACAGCTTGAATCCAGGATATTTTAAGTACCACTTGATAGTGGGAATCCGTTGTTTGTGGTCTCCCACAGTTCAGATGCATGGCTTGTATCCTCCACCAGTGAGCACCCAATTCTGTGGAATTACATGCTGGCTAAGATCAGATACTGTTGCCTTAGTAAATATATTTTTTTCTAATTTCAGAAGGCATTTGGAGTGTTTCTAATCTTACAGTTAAAAGGTAAAGGGACCCCTGACCATTAGGTCCAGTCATGGCCGACTCTGGGGTTGTGGCGCTCATCTCGCTTTATTGGCCAAGGGAGCCGGCGTACAGCTTCCAGGTCATGTGCAGGATGACTAAGCTGCTTCTGGGAACCAGAGAAGCGCACAGGAAATGCCGTTTACCTTCCCGCCGGAGCGGTACCCTATTTATCTACTTGCTCTTTTTGGCATGCTTTCGTAACTGCTAGGGTGGGCAGGAGCTGGGACCGAAGAATGGGAAGCTCACCCCGGTCGCGGGGATTTGAACCGCCGAACCTTCTGATTCGGCAAGCCCTAGGCTCTATGGTTTAGACCACCAAGTGCCACCGCGTCCCATAATCTACAAGTTTAATTGCTAAACTAATTTTATGATGTATTGCTGCATTTCTTATTGGACCCTGCTTAGAAACCATGGTATTAAGCAGTATATACATTATTTAAATGAATTACTGAATGAACGAACAAACAAAATGTATTGTAACATTTAGTGCAATAATAAACTGTTAAAGACTGGAAGGTATACAGGTGTCAATCTTAGTGATGAGGCTGAACATCCTATTTTCAGTCAACGACCAACAGATGCTGTTCATCTTTTCTTTAACATGTCCAAGAAAAATGATTTCATATAGTGTACAAAGGATACAATTTCCATTCGAAGAAAACCTTCTGTGGAAGCACACAAAGAAGCTAGGTTCAAAAGCTGGGGTTATATATATAGATATATGAATGAAAAATGGTTCCACTATTTCATTACACATAGTATTTTTCAGCTCATTTGAGTTGTGGTAATATATATTAGCGGCAAGATTTGATACCAAATACTCTCCTGCCATGAATCAGAAAATTAATTTCTTATGTTATCCTGTAACTGAAAATATAGTTTATTTCAATGTTTATTTATAGTACATATTTACTTAGCTATAAAAATATTTATATTACACTATTCTATCATTAAAAAGATCCCCAAGGTGGTCAACAAATCTCAGTAAAGCAGTAAAAGCAGGTCAGAATATACCTATACAATGAGCAAGTAACAAAGAACAGAGCCAGATAAAACTATCTGTGTTTTAATTGGTCATTATTCTGCAAGCCTTCTGCTGAACATTCTACAAAAGAGATAGACCTTTGTAATGTGGCAGAAGCCAAGCAGATCTTTCTTGGAAAGGTGTGTTCAACAAGTGTGGTGCCATAACTGATGAGACCATGAGTGCTGAAGTATTCTTTTCCTGCAATTAGTTGGAGGTGGAATTAAAATGAAGGTTCCATTAAAACATAGCGCTATATTAAGTATCACTCCCTTTCCCCTTCCTATCCTTTCAGAATTTCTATTTTCAGTGAAAGTTCCATTCAGCAAAGATCTCTGGCACTTCAAATAAATGTTACTGTATGCAAGTTCAGTTGTTTTATT